CCCGAAATGTCAGCTTTCCTGCTCCTCTAATGCTGCTCGGCCTGCTGTGTTCATCCAGCTCTACACCTTGTTATCTCTAACGTTCTGGGGACCTGGGTTCAAATCCCGCCACTGTAGATGGTGGAATTTGAATTCAATAAAATATCTAGAGTTAAGAATCTAATGATGACCATGAATCCATTGTCGATTGTCAGGAAAACCCCATCTGGTTCACTAATGTTCTTTAGGGAAGGAAATTGCCATCCTTACCTGGTCTGGCCTACATGTGACACCAGCCCCACAGCAAAGTGGTTGACTCTGAACTGCCTCTGGACAATTAGGGATGGGCAATAAATGCTGCCTAGTCAGCAACACCCTCATCCTGTTAATGAATAAAAAAAAATCCTCAGACACTCAAGGGCAGGGTGATCATTGAACAGAGGCGGTAACTGAGGTCAGAGATAACTTGCTGAGTTAAAGTGCTGCCATCGTGAACTCTGGTTGGAGCATTTCATGGGATTGCATGGCATAGGTAAGTTTAAATATTCAAGTATTTCATTGTCCTTTGCCTCTGATAACCTGGGTTCGTCGACAATAAGGACCCCTTGGTAGTAGATACAATAGGTGACAGTTGAATAAAATGATAGGCATATCATTATAGCTTTTGTTGTCAACCCCTAAATTAGAAAATTGCCATAGTATTATTAACTACAGAAGTTGATTATCTTCTTATTAAAAGTTGAAGTCACCATTGTCTAACCAGACCACATGACTAATCTCCCGTTAGAGAGTGACAACGGGTGGTAGTTTAACCTGAGGGTCATCACATTTCAGGTCAGTGGAGAGGTAGAAGGGGAGAGTCTTTCATGATAATCTTGGCTGTTGCAGGAATTGAACCCGCACAGTTGGTGTCACTCCACATTACAAACCAGTCATCCAGCCAACTAAACTAACCTCAATCCTACAATTAAAAATGTATTGTTCCTCCTGATTTTAATGAGCTTCATTAATGTCATTAATCTCAACTTTATTTCATCATTTATCCTTTGTGTACTTATCTAAAGTGTCTGAAAATCAGGCTATATAATATGTACTATTATCAGGGTACTTGGCATTGGCCAACTTCTGAAAGTTTGCTGATGGAAACTTTATGTAAATTTTATGATCATTACAATTATAACCTTATAGGAATTTGTCTGATTCACCTATTATCCTCTACAACGTTAATTATGCATCTTTTCTCCATTACAGAGAGGAAACGTGCTTCACTACAGCAATTCTTTCCTTCTTTTTGTGTTTCTCCTGGTGTTCACTGTGGCCACAATTATGCAGTGCTTTTTGATGAGTGTTTTCTTCTCCAAGGCCAATCTAGCAGCTGCTTGCAGTGGGATCATTTACTTCACCCTCTATCTGCCTCACCTTCTCTGCTATGCTTGGCAGGACCGTATGACCAAAAATATGAAATTGGCAGCGGTAAGTTTAATGGATTCAAATGATTAACCCATTGAACATTTCATTGGCCCACGAACAGAAATTTTCAAGGAATGGCTCCAATTTTGAGGGGAGTGCAGAGATGGGACATTTTGGAGCTCTGCAAATCCAACCTGAGTAAAGCTGGCGCAGAAAGTTTGACAGGTCTTTGAAAGCTTTAACAGGTGTTTGACAGCTTGAAAGTTCAAATGGGTTTAGTGCACTTTTTGGTCAAATTAATCTATACTTTTTTAAAAGTGACAAAGGTACAGGGCCCCCTCAAGGGTAGTTGAATCCCCCAAAAGATACATGACCACACCCACACCCCAAGATGTCCAAGGGCCATACCCACCTCTTTAAAGCTGTATACTACCCATCCAAATTGATCTACAGATTTTAGACATGCCCTTAGCCTAATGCCATTCCTGGCCCACAAAAAAATAGAAAATGCTGTTTTCAACAGTGTTTTCTGATTTCCAGTCACTTCTGTCATTTTTGCTCTAGTGAAGATGTCCTCCATTGTTATGAAGATATTGGCCACATACCATGGAAGATATACCAGACAGCACAATTTTAAATCCACTGAGGAGTTGAAGGTGTGTTATACATCTGGAAAATAACCCAGAGGTGCTGTTCTAACTAATCCCAGCACTACCATTACTAAATAAAGTATGTTATGATTATAAGATGTTTCTACTTGCAAGTATTCTTCGCTATACAGTGGTATTCAGAGAATCACTTGCAATGATTCTGTTGCTGATCTCACATTGTTACCTCTGGTGTCCCCAATGATCTACTCTTCACTCCGTCCTATTTCTCATCTACATATTGTCCCTTGGTGACATCCTCATTAACAAGTCAGCCTTCTTTTGTATGGCGATGACACCCAGATCCTCCTCACCACCGCTGCCACCCCATTCAGCCCCTCAACCAACTTTAATTTGTAACACTCTGCATTCGACACCTGGTCATGGATGAACAGAAATTTCCTACAGCTAAATATTGGAAAGATTGAAGCCATTATCTTCAGTCCACACAACTGACTCTGCCCATAGCTACTGACTCCGACCCTCTCCATGACAACTATCTGGGGCTAAACCAGATGGTTCACAATTTTAGTGGTATTTAATTCCATGATAAATTTCTGAAAACACATCCACCCTATTACCAAAATTGCCTACTTCTATCTCAATTATATCACCTCACTCCACTTGTAATGCAGCTGAATCTGCTGCTGTAACCTTTATCCATGTCTTTGTTACCTCTGGACCTTACCACTCCAACACATGTCTAGCCAACTTCCTATCATCTCCATTAGATACCTTTGAGGTCACCTAAAACTCTACTGCTCATGTTCAAACCGACACCATGTCCCATTTATCCATCACTCCTGGTGACCGACATTGGCTTCTGATCTAGCAATGTCTTGGTTTTAAAATTCTCATCCGTATCTTCAATTCCCAGCAAGACCTTGCCCCCTACTATCTCTGTAGCCTCCTTAAATTGTACAAGGCATCCAGATCTCTGCAAACTTCATTTCTGGCCTTGAGTCCATTTCCAATCGCTCTGCCATTGGCAGTCATGTCTTCATCTGCTAAGCCCTTGAGCTCTGGAATCCCTTCCTACAATCTCTCTCTATTTTGTTTTACTTCTGAAGAAGACAATTCTTTAAGTATACCTCCTCATCCAAGCTTTTGGTCATCTGTCCTAATACCTCCTTTGTGAATTGGTGTCAAATATTTGTCTACTTGTGCAAAGTCTGTTGGGATATTTTACTGTATTAAAGATCCTACGATAAGTGCAGTTTGTTCCTGTGGCAATGACAGTTTCCAAGACAAAAGGTTATGGGTTCAAGTCATACTCCAGAGGATAAAGCCCATGCTAACACTCTAATACAGGGCTAACAGAGTGCTCTGTTGGAAGTGCAATCTTTCCTGAAACATGAAACCAATATCCCTGTCCACTCGCAGCTGGATATAAAGGTTTGCATGGCACTGTTTCAAAGACCTCTCTGATGTCCTGGCCAACATTTATCTATCAACAAACCAAAGAAATGAAAGATTTGGATATTAACACATTTATAGATGTAGGACCTTACTGTTATGACAGGAACTACACTTCAGATGTAATTTATTGACTGTGAAATGCTTTGGGACATCCAGAAGTCATCCAAGGTCTAACATAAATCCATTTTCTTTCTCACTGAGGACAGCCACAGCTTTTGACATTCAGATAATGTTGGTGTGAGGAGCTGAAAATGTGCCACTGGTAGCAGCTTGCAACTTTCCTCACTGCTGGATGATCAGAGGAAAAAGCAATTGCACTTAAAAACCATTCTGTACCATTGATTTATCAGACTAGAAACAGAATAATAAAAGCCTTCTCCCTGTCCAATTTGTAACATTATTGAATATTGATGTGAATTGTGTTGGGACCAATACTGAATCATCCAGTTCCTTTTTAAAATTTCAGAGTTTGTTATCTCCAGTGGCATTTGGCTTTGGCACGGAGTACCTATCCCGTTATGAGGAGCAGGGTCGTGGACTTCAGTGGGATAATATCCGTGCCAGCCCTATAGAAGGAGATGAGTATAATCTGCTGCTATCCATCAAGATGATGCTGTTTGATGCCTTTTTGTATGGAGTTCTTGCCTGGTATCTTGATGCTGTGTTTCCAGGTATGCTGACAATGAATTAACTATGGAAAGTATCCTTAGAAGAAGATTTTCTTTCCTATAAACCTTAAGTTTTTGTTACAGCGAAGGTCTAGACCAAAAATTACCCAATGGACCTTGCAACTCGCTCAGCAAAACATAAGAAAATTTAAATCATACAAGGAATGACATTCACTGCCAGGTCCAGCAGCTTGATTGCAATGATGGGGAATATTTATTGACCCAAAGTTACTTTATTCACTTCCTTAGAGAATATGCCTCCAATATTGAGCAGTGTTTCTACCATAGAGACCTGTGGACATTCACCACTGGATTTTAATGAATATATCCGGAATTAAACAAAAGCTAGTCTAATAGGAACCATGTCTAAAGGTAACTGTTGATCTGTTGTAAAAACCCATCTGGTTTACTAAAGTCCTTTAGGGAAGGAAATCTGCCATCCTGACATGGTATCACCTTCACGTGACTCCAGACCAACAGCATTGTGGTTGATGGACAATAAATGCTGGCTTAGCAAGTGATGCCCATGTCTTATGAATGAATAAAAAAAAATCAAAACAGAGGTGGATTTATTTTTTGGGCAATAAGAGAATGAATGGAAATGGGAATAGCTCAGGAAGTGGAGTTAAGGACAAAGATTGAGAGCTAAGTGACCTACTCCAGCTCCTAATTCTTATTTTTCAAGATTCTGTTTCAGATGAATTGACCCATCGACTTTTTAACACTTTGAACTGAGAAATGATCTCTTTTAGAATCATAAATAACAAAGAACTAAGAAAATTACAGCACAGAAACAGGCCCTTCGGCCCTCCAAGCCTGCGCCGATCATAGGATCCCTACAATGTGGAAATAGGCCACTCGACCCATTGAGTCCATACTGACCCTCCAAAGAGCATCCCACCCAGACCCACCCACTATCCTATCCCTGTAATCCTGCAATTCCCATGACTAATCACCTGCGTCCACATCCCTGCACACTATGGGCAATTTAGCATGACCAATCCACTTAAGCTGCACATCTTTGGACTGTGGGAAGAAACCAGACCACCTGGAGGAAACCCATGCAGACACAGGGGGAATGTACAAACTCCACACAGACAGTCGCCCAAGTTTGGAATTAAACCAGGTCCCTGAAGCTGTGAGATAGCAGTGTTAACCACTGTGCCACCCGTGCGTATTACCCAGGTGTTGTAAGATGAATCCACGCCACAGCTCATCATGCTGTAAGGTACATCTGGTTGCCACCATCGTCTTTTATTTTTAGGAGTTTATTGCATGTTAGCGACAAGGTACATGTTACATCAATGTGATAGGTATCGTTACTAAGATTGTGAGGGCGACTTCAACGTTAAGTCATGGTCCTTCAAGACCCAAAGATGTCCCCCTGCCTGAATCCATTTAACGTCATCATGCTGATTTAGTGCACTCCTCAATGTTAACCATTTCACACTCTTACACCTTTATACACCATGGGGGACCAATTCCCTGCAATGGCTTTACAGAAATTGGTTTCCTTGATCCAATGCAACATTTATAGATCTGGATCAATGATCTAATGGATGGACAAAGCTTCAGCTCATTTATGGATGGCATTTAGCTCTCAGAAGGAAAATTGTGTGTTCAGACTTCACAAGCATAAAAACACCTTCAATTTTAAGAACCTTCAGAAGTCACTCTTTCCCTTCACAATCAAGAGGATTTGTGGAGTAGATTCCTTCTACAAAGAAGGTAATCCCATGTTAATTGACATGTAGAAAATAACCCAGATGAAAGTTTTGTTCAGAATGGGATTGACAGTTGTTAGAATAATTGCAGATGGAATTGATCCATCAGTCTGTGGAACATGATGGTTTTTGAGCTACACAGACTTTGGGAATGTCATGGTAAAGAGGGAAACCAGTGAAAGAAGAATAATAAAAAATGGAAGACTGGATTTATAATTAGAATTTCACTTACCTCTGCAGGGGAGGAAAGTGTGGAACTGTTTATTGAGAGATTAAATGGGCTGATTAAAGTCAATGGTGAAGTAAATTGTGAAATTTGAACATTTTTTTCCTTCAATCTTCATGTTCTGAGGATTGGCAGCCCAAGGATGAAGATTTCCTCGGGGTCACTACGTTAGGGACATTAGAGTTCTATCAGAACAAACAATGTGTTTGCCATTTCTAGCCAAATTACAAAAGTATTTTAAAATGAGGCTTTTGTGGAATGGCCTCCCACACTTAATCTGTGTGGTATTTGTTCAAAATATGGCTACTAATAGACAGCAGAGGAAATCTGGGTACGCCAGGTGCCCTGACAGGGAGAGGCAATGACCTAGTGGTATTATTGCCAGACTGTAATCCAGAGACCCAGATAATGTTCTGGGCACCCTGGTTCAAATCCCACTGTAGCAGATGATGGGACTATGAATTCAATAACAAAAAAATTGGAATTAAGAGTCCAACGTTGACCATGAATCCATTATTGAAAAAATCCATCTGGTTCACTAATGTCCTTTTCAGGGAAGGAAACCGCCATTCTTACTTGGTGTGGTTTACATGTGACCCCACAGCAGTGTGGCTCATTCATAACTGCCCTCTGAGCAATTAGGGATGGGCAATAAATGTTGGCCTAGCCAGCAACACACTCATCCCATGAATGAATTTAAAATAGCAGGTGTAAGTCTAAATTGTAGATGTCAGGCTATTTGCTTGTGAAGCTTGGTCACCCCAATAACTGTAGTTTATTATGTTGTTCTTTCGCATTTATATAGGCCAACACGGAATACCATCTCCATGGTATTTTCCACTGCAGTCCTTGTACTGGTTTGGCGCTGAAAAATCACAACCTGCCACAGACGGTGAGTTCATTTATAAACCAGAGAACTGAGCGAACAGAATCAGATTTTGATATTATCGAGCTTCCCTGCCTTGCTGATTCCGTTGTGCTCTAAGTAAGCTGGCACAGTTTACAGGAGCGTCTCTGTACACTCAGAATTGGAAACCTGTGATTATACTGCCAGCTCACTTCACCGCTGAGCTGGTGAAAGCAGACTTCAACACTTAAATGCTGCCCCAGCAGTGTCTGTCTAACAGTGACAAGGCAGTCAGCTTTTTCCCATGACTATTAGAGACTTAAAGAAGGTGAGGCAAACTGTCTCGATTCATGATAAATTTAGTTTGAAGTGCTGAAAGTTGTCTGACCACTGATTACATTTATACTGCAAGCAATGTACAGCTTTAATGCTATAAGATCATCTTTCAGACGATTTCTCTTCAATGGCAAACTGCCAAATTCTGATGGATGATTATATAATAGTGCACTTTGGGTGAAGGCATTCCAAAACGTTGTAATGAACGATTAGCAAGGATATGGATTAACTGGTACATGAGAGAGCATGTACGCAACCAAAGTTTCTCTTGAACATAATCATGTTTTTGGTCCCTGGCCAACATCTTTGTCTCTGGCTTGCTGCAGTGTTTCAGCAAAGCCCAACGCAAGCTGGAGGAACAACACCTCACTTTCTGCTTGAGGACCCTACAGCTCTCTGGACTCAATATTGAGTTCAATAATTTCAGGGCCTAAACTCTCCCATGTCCTAGCCCCCTACCCCACACACCAGGCCTTGTTATCACATAGCCTGCCATTACACACCCCCAGGTAAGTTGTTTTTGTTCTCTTGATTATAGCATGTTTGAATGATCCGGCTAAGGATACAACGTACAAAAAAAACCTACAGATTCCTACTCCCCTTAGTTATCCAGTGGTCCTACGTTGATGATGATAAATGCTTTGTGTTGTTAAATGATCTACCATTCAATTTGTCCTACCATGTATTCAAAATAGGCAGGGAGAAATTGGGAAAAACCAACATAAATTTGACTATGTGATTAACATTCGCCTCTATTCAGCTTGAAATAATTGTCCATGGACATATATTGAATGAAAAATGTTCTTTTTAACTGCCGCTAAATAAGGGATAAGCTCTTTGAATGTATGCCACCTTCTCATACTCAAGATCCAAAATAAGTGTTAATCATGTTTTACTCTTTTTTTTATTGATAAGACAAAAAGGAAGTTAAAGACAGTGCAGAATATGAGGAAACGAAGGAGGAGAAAGCAGACAAATCTAGTGAGGAAACAGAAGACAAACCAAAAGAGAAAGCAGCAGAACAACCTGGAGAACAAGCAAGCAAACCAACAGAAGAAGATGCGGAGAAATCAGGAAAGCAGCTGGTAGCTGATGACAAACCAAAGGACAACAAAAAAATATGTAAACTGAAGGAGAAGGAAATGCAAGAGAAAGAGAGGCTGGAGAAAGAGAAACAGAAAAAAGAGAGGCTAGAGAAAGAGAAACAAGAAAAGGAGAGGCTGGAGAAAGAGAAACAAGAAAAGGAGAGGCTGGAGAAGGAAAAGCAGGAGAAAGAGAAGAAAGAGAAAGAGAAACAAGAAAGCGAAAAGGTCAACCCGGGTAATGTTTCGATCTTAACAGTAACGTCTTCAGGTGGACTCATGTTTTCCCCATTCCTAATTCTCTTTTCCAGATACTGAAGCAAATACTATGTCCATTTATTGTTATCTATTCGCAGTGACAGCAGCAATGGCAGGAAACCCCTTTTACGAGAAGGAGCCATCAAATCTGACTCTGGGAGTCTCTATTCAGAACCTAGTGAAGGTTTTTACAGAGGGGCAGAAGCCAGCTGTGGATGGACTGAACATTAACTTCTTTGAAGGGCAGATCACTTCCTTTTTGGGTCACAATGGAGCTGGAAAGACAACAACAATGTAAGAGATGACGTTCCTTTGCTACCACAACAAAATAATCATCAGCCACAAGAACAAGCTACATTCATGAAGTTCTTTTAGGCTCCTTCCCAAGTTGAAGGTAGCAAGAACAACATGGATGATGGCTATCTGTATTTTGAAAATAATTAACGGGTTTCTCAGCTTAGAATACAGCTTCCTGGTGACCATATGTATGGTTCATCCAAATCACTCCAAACTAAAATAAGGGGAGATAGGGAACAGAAAGGTAAATTGAGTCTTTGGAATTTCTTGCCACAGAGAGCTATGGGGGCAAAGGCCTTGTGTGTATTTAAGGCTGAGATAGATTCTTGATCAGTCAGGGCATCAAGGGTTACAGGGAAAGGACAGGAAAATGGACATGAGGAATGTTGAATCAGCCGTGATCCTATTGAATGGTGGAGCAGGCTTGAGGGGCTGAATGGCCTACTCTTCTGTTCCTGTTTCTTATGATTATAAACAGAAGAGTAAGAGAGCAAGTAAGATGAAATGCAGAAAGCAGAATGAAAGAAAGTTAATTTTTGCTGTTAGAGGTGAATATTTATTTTGTGGCTTATTGAAAGGGATTTTATTTTGTTCATTTGAACCAAGTACCTCAGTTGTCAGCACCCTCTGCTGAAGACTTCATGCATACTATTTGTTACATAACCATAATCACATGATTGTTATGTGAACTGTGGAAAGTTAAGCTTCAACCTCCAAGTTACACACGTGGAAGTTCACTGAACTAGAATAATAGCTGCTGTTAATCAGACCGTAGTACAGATCCTTGGAAACACACTGTGTTGCTGTTGCTTGCCATTCTCGCTTTTATAAACCCAACAAACATCAAAAACCAGCACCAGCTCCAACCATTGTGAAACTGTTCAGTCCGGAACCAAGTGTTTTCTGCCTCAGAAACCAGCAGCAGAAAATTCCCAATTTCCTCAATTCCTTACCAGCACATATGCCAGATTGGAATCTGTATCAAAAATAACAAAGAAAGCAAACTTGAGAAAGTTGAGATATGATCACAAGCTGCAGATTGTCCAAAATACATGAAGTATTTCCTTTTTTCCAATAAACCTGGGTGAAAGACTATAATGAGATAAATATTAACTAGAATTCTGTACTGCACTTGGTACATTTTTGACCTTGCAATCATTGAAGTAACCTTCAGTGTTATAACAATTAGCTTCTTCACAGGAATAGTTCAGCTCCAAATCCCAACAAATACACAGAAACATACATGCTATAAGTAAAGCAAGCAGAAATTAAGACTTTGCATTATACAATGCCTTTCACAACCTCCAAACATCCCAAAGCAATTTGGAGCCACTGAAATACTTGTAGTGTAAGCTCAGTTGTAACATCAGAAATGCCCAGTAAGAGTGCATGATTGCTCACTGCATAAGAATCATAGAATCCCTACAGTGTGGAAGCAGACCTTTCGGCCTGTCAAGTCTACACAAGCCCTCCAAATAGCATCCTGCCCAGACTCACCCCATCCCTGTAACCCAGCGTTTCCCATGGCCGATCCACCTAACCAGCCCATCTTTGGGCTGTGGGAGGAAACTGGAGCACCTGGAGAAAACCCACGTAGACACGGTGAGAATGTGCAAACTCCACACAGTCGCCCAAAGTTGGAATTGAACCTGGGTCTCTGCTGCTATGAGGCAGCAGTATTAACCACTGAACAATGGTGCTGCATAAATAAAAAGACAGAGACAGGGAAGCAGAAAGAATCAGAGACTGGGAGACTAGCAGGAAAACAGTTACATGGAAAGATAAATGCACAATTTTCCTTAAAATCATATTAACGTAACTATTAAACATTGCACTAATGTCCAGAAACATAGGGACAGGAGGAGGCCATACTGAAGACTCGCTGCTAGTGAGGAGTCAGCACACTCAGGAGATAAGAAAATATTTTGAATTATAACGATGCAAACTTAATTCCTGCAGAAAGAAGCAGGAAGCGTTGCATATTTGATAGCTGACTGTGTTAGTAAGTCATCCATCAGGATAAAGTCATCTGTTGTAAGATTTAGGTTCCCTTTGATAACAAATGATTTTGATCAAAACTGTGTAATTATCTTCTCTTAAAGATGTGCAAGAATTTTCAATGTTCAAATTCTAACCTGAGTTTGTAAGTCATGTGCAATCTCCAGTGTTTACTATCACTGGTTTTCCATTTGTATCCAATAGGTCAATGCTGATAGGCTTATTTCCACCTACATCAGGGACTGCAGTCATTAACGGCAAAGATATCCGCACAGATATTGATGCAATTCGACAGGAAATTGGTGTGTGCCCCCAGCACAATATTTTATTTAACAAGTAAGTATGATCCATCTGATCAAAGTCTTCAAGATATTAATAGGAAAAGATAGGGTAGATAAAGATGAGCTATTTCCACTGGTTGGGGATTCTAGAACCAGAGGGTATAGTCTAAGAATTAGGACCAGACCATTCAGAAGTGAGGAAGCATTTCTACGTAGAAACGGTGGCAGATGTTTGGAACTCTCTTCCACAAATGGCAGTGGATGCTGGATCAGTTGTTAATTTTAAATCTGAGATAGATAAATATTTGTTAAGCAAAGATATTAAGGAATATGGGCCAAATGGAGGTATGTGGAGTTAGGCAATGATTAACCATGATCTCACTGAATGGTGGGCCTGTGAAATGTCACAAATATCTAAAGGTGGTCTCTGAAATGTCTACCTTCTTCATCAACTGAGGATTTCCCAGCACTGTGGTTGACAGAGCCCTCAGAGAGGTCTGACCCATCTCCTTTACTTCAGCCCCCACCCCCTCTCTTCCCTCTCACAACAGCAGTAGGGGCCCCCTTGTCCTCACCTGCCATCTCACCAGCATCTATATCCATAGGATCATTAGCTGCCATTTGCACCACCTCCAGCAGGACACATATTCCTCTCCCCTCCTTTGACAGCCTTCTGCAAGGACGGTTCCCTCTGGAACACCCTGGTCCACTTGCCCTTCACTCCCAACATCCTACCACGGCCCCAAAGCACCTTGCTCTGCAACTGCAGAAGGTGTAACACCTGGCCATTTACTTCCTCCCTCCTCACTATCCAAGGGGCCAACATACCTTCCCGGTGAAGCAGCACTTTACCTGCACTTCACTCAATCTAGTCTACTGCATACGCTGCTCACAATGTGGTCTCCTCCACACTGGGGAAACGAAGCGTAGACTGTGTGACCGTTTTGCAGAACACCTGCGTTCTGTCAGCTAAAAAGACCCTGAACTTCCAGTTGCCTGCTACTTCAACACGTCACCCTGTTCCCTGGCCAATGTCTCAGACATGCTGCAGTGCTCCAGCGAAGCTCAGCGCAAGCTGGAAGAGCAGCACCTCATTTTCCTCCTGGGGACCCTGCAGCCTTCTGGACTCAATATCGAGTTCAACAATTTTAGGGCTTTCATAGTTTCTCCCATGTCTTTACCCCAGCGCCCATGCTTTGTCATCACATGGGCTGCTACCACAAGCAATCCATTGTCAGCCAATAATGGTCCCCATTAGCAGCTGATTCTCCCAGGTTGACCTTTACCCATTCCTTCATCTACCTGACTGTTTGTTTTTCTCTCTTTCTGGGCTTCATCTCCACCTATCATTTACTCCACCCACTCCCCCATAAATACCAACCTATTCCCAGCTACTATCAATTCTGAAGAAGGGTCGCTAGGCACGAAACGCCAACTCTGCTTTGTCTCCTCAGATGCTGCCACATCTGCTGGGTTTTTCCAGCAATTTCTGTTTTCATCACTGAATGGTGGAACAGGCTTGCGGGGCTAAATGGCCTATTCCTGTTCTTATGTTCCAATGTTCATCATTTTTAAGCATCCATTCTGATGATTCTGGCAATAAACAATAGAGGAGATTACTTAAGCGTCTGGGAAAAGAGGGAATTGATGTAAGTGATGAGGTGGTTGGTTATGATCAAACAAAACATGTTAGGATTTTGGATCCATGTGGCATGGTCCTACTATTCTTAAAAACAAAAAATAATTCCTAAGTTTGCATTATTCTGAACGCAGTGTGTCAACATTTCCTCTAATGTTTTCTGCTTTGTGCGTCGATACAAACTATATAAATGAGGCACATAAAATAGCTGCAGTTCACTTCCAATTCTAATGAGTTAGGTTACAAATAGAGCTGGGCAATGAATGACAGTAAGTAAAATGCTTCACCGAGTAGATGTTGATAAACAGCATGTTGCGCCTTTATTAAACACTTTGATCGGTGTGAAAGGATTTTTTTCCTTTGTAAAGTGACATGTTACAGCTGACACTGGGGCTAAGGATCATTAGGCAAAGCAAAGTGAAATTGACCAATGTGTTTGGACTAGGCTACAACATGCTTTTATTTCTGGGAGGTAGATATAGGTCCTTCTCCATAAGGTAAACCTTGATTAGCGTGCCAGAGGCAAAAAAACAAGTGGTACTTTGTGGAATGCAAGGGCTTTCTACAGGCCTGGTATCTGTCCAGGGATGTAGTTAATGTTGTTGCTGCCTACAACATCTGCTACACTACCCAGGGCCTGTAGATGATTCTGGAGAAGGATTCTGCCTGAGCCAGAGTTTCAGCATCTATCAAGATAAGCTCATTGTATCAGCCTGAGAATCTGGTTGACCGTCAGTGTGAGCCTGTGAAGTGATCAGGGAATCCCTGGAATGCTGACCTGGGGAAGGTTGTGTCTTTCCCCGAATAAGATTGGAACATTGATCTTCAGTGTAATGTTTTAAGGGAACTGTGAGCAGAATAATCTGATCTTATCTTTATCTTTGCTGTAGCCTAACGGTGGCAGAGCATATTTTATTCTACACTCAACTAAAAGGCCATACAGTGGAAGAGGCAGAGAAGCAGACAGAAGTAATGTTGGATGAGATTGGACTTCCTCACAAGAGAGATGAGCTGGCTCAAAATTTATCCGGTAATTTCAAGAATGATCAAAAGCATGCTCAAGTAGATAGTAACCATTTCAGAAGATGGAGTGTCCCATTTAGCCCCGTTCTGCCATTTAATTCAATCACAAACAGACTATCTGCTCATTATCACAGTCCTACTGTATGTAAAATTAACTGAGACATATCCTTAATTACAACAATGATTTCATTTCAAAAAATTCTTCATTAGTGTAAAGTGCTGCAGGACACTGAGGCGCTGTTGAAATGCAAATCTTTCCTTTTAGATTATGGCTAATCTATACTGACTTCAATTATCCATTGTTGCTCTATGTCCCTTGATACCTTTTGCTGAGCTTTGTCTTGAAAACATAAATTCCCCCAACAAGCACATGTTTTTGAGGACAAGAGTTCCAAATTTCCAAAGATTTTTTCCAAGAAAAAGTGATTCCTGACTTTGTTCCAAAATGTTCTTTTCGATGTATTTCAGTCACATTCAAAAATCTGAGCAAGTCCTGACATGTCATGATGCAAGTATATAGCGGTGGCATTATGTGCATCTACATCTTTGAGGTGTTTGATTGCGTTACATGCTACATTTAGAACATTATCATTAATAAAACTTTGATTACAGCAAGTAAACAAAGTCCACATTACACTGCCTGCAATAGTTACAGCAGCAGATTCTTTCAAAAGGTGATCTGGGGTGACATGGTGGCTCTGTGGTTAGCACCGTTGCCTCACAGCACCAGGGACCTGGGTTCAACTCCAGCCTTGGGCAACTGTCTGTGTGGAGTTTGCACATTCTCCCCGTATCTGCGTGGGTTTCTTCTGGGTGCTCCAGTTTCCTCCCACAGTCCAAAGATGTGTAGGGTAGATGCATTGGCCACGCTAAATTGTCCATAGTGCCCAGGGATGTTTAGGTTAGAAATGCAGGGGTAGGGGAATGGGTCTGGGTGGGATGATCTTCAGAGGGGTGGTGTGGACTTGATGGGCCAAATGGCCTGTTTCCACACTGTAGGGATTCTAATTGGACAAGCATCTGAAGGGGAAATATTTCAGGGCTATAGGGAAAGGGCAGGGTAATTAGATTAGCTGTGCTGTTCTTGCAGAGAGCCAGCGCATCCTTGACAGGATGCATGGCACTTTTGATGTTGCAACCATCCTGTGATAATAACTTTATAATGAATCAATGATTCTATGTGTATTCTTTGCATGCATAACTCAAAGTATTAATATTATAAAGACATGAAGTTGTTGACATGTTAAATGGTTTCTCTCTGTTCCTGAACAGGTGGGATGCAGCGCAAACTATCAGTAGCCTTAGCATTCATCGGAGCAGCTAAAGTAATCGTTTTGGATGAGCCAACATCTGGAGTAGATCCTTATTCCAGACGATCCATCTGGGATCTCTTACTGAAGTACCGTGCAGGTATACTGTGCTTCCCAGATTCATTCCAATAATAAAAGTCTAATGCATGTGACTAAATTACCAGTAATGTCTGTCCACACTGTATCCTGAAGTAAGAGAATTATTCTTTCTAAAAGTTGGCAGCCAACAAATGTATTAGAGTAAGAAATACTATAATCACATGAGCTACAAATAGTCTCACCTCCTGCTGTGTTTATCAAATTCCAGTGCATTTGTGCATGTAAGGCAAGTGATATTGGAAATGAATTTCACATAACAGGACTGACTGAACCACTAAGAAAAATGGCAGAAGACATAAAAGTTTGAAAACACGTAGGAATAGATTCAAGAACAGCTTCTTCCCTGCTGTTATCAGACTACTGAATGAACCTCTCAAATGTTAATTCTGATCTCCCACTCTCTGCACTGTAACACTGTATTCTGCACTCCGTTCTGCTACCCTGATGCATTTTGTATGGTACGATCTGTATCTCGGTGTATATGACATCAATAAATCGATCTATCAATCAATCAAATGCACCAGCCCCTTGTAGGAAAGTCTCAAATTATCTTAAATCTGTGCTGAGGTGGGTGATTTCAGATTACATTAGCCATAGGACCTCAGGACTGGGAAGGTAAAAGCTCAGCTCCTAACCAACAGCGGAAAAATGCACAATGCTGCATTGGCATCAGAAGTTAAACAGAATCAGATTTGATATGATATTCCCCGCAGCTAAATGTTCACTTCAATGGTTTAGATAAAGTTCTGGATGTTGTAAGTGCCCGTACAGTCACTACACAGCACAAATTTATCACCTTCAGAAATAGAAAAGACAAAGGAACTTGGAAGAAAAGACTGATAATACTAGCTAAAGACATAACTGTATTAGAATTACGTCTTTTTGAAACAGACTGTTAAAGAGATTTGACGTTAATGTTGGGTCTGATAGCCTGTTGATGGCAATGCTCACAAGCTAAGTGTTGGGCCACTGCCCTGACTGTCTCACCAATGCATGAATTTATATGATCAGTTCATAGTTGGCAGCTACAAGGATGCTTAAACAGAGTGAAGGTGTTCGTCCCTGACAGCTGAAAATTTGACATAATCTGACTCCCACTCACATTATGTTTCTGGAGATTGGGACTCGATGAATGATTGAAATCTGGAGCTGAAGCAGCTGTGCCAAGTTATCATTTCTCATACTAATCCAGTGAGTCTGATCTTGCTGCTTATTCAGATGTGGCTGTGATCACAGCCATAATATCATTTTACTCAGCAACAGGAGAGCGCTAAGGCTGGTAATCAACTTTTACGCAATGGGAAGATTGTACAGTGGGATTCAGAAATAAACAACAAAGGCTCAGAAACAGTCAGCAGATCAGGCAGCATCTGTGGAAGGAGAAACAGAATTAAAATGTTTCAGGTCAATTACTGCTTCTATTTTAGATTTCCAGAATTCAGAGTAATTTTGTTTTAATGGAGTCCAAAATGTGGCATTGTTGCCTAGGTTTTGAATGAGAAACTGCAGGAGTTTATCTGGGATTTTATTGATCCACACACAGATAGGAGAGTAACTAAGATAGTGCCCAGTCCATTGGTGTTTAACTTCCCATGTTACCCGGTGCTGTTTGCACGGTAATTGGCCAGTGCTGTTTGGTCACATCAGTTCAGGAGCCACACATTCATTTAACTGAGGCCCAAGCCTCAAAGCAGGCAGCAGTGCCATCTCTCAGCACCTGCACCATTCACCATCCCCTATCAGTCCGTCAGCATTACCCCTACAATAATGCAGCACTCGCTCAATACCGAACTGGGAGATTGTCCTGGATTAGCTTTAGTTGCTAATGTGAGAAGCCCCCCAATCAAAGTGATGGTGGCCATCAAACAAAGGAAACTGAGGGAGTTCTATCCTTCCAAATAAGTCAACACAGCACAATGACAATAAAAGATCGATTAAATTCAGACAACAGCCTCACTGGGCTTTCTGCATTGGGAATATCCTTGAATTATGTTATTGAGCTAATCTCAATTACACAGTAAGGTCAGGTCGTTCTGGCACAGATACATCCATAGCTTTAGGAGTGGCCACCATATATTGGTATCATCTTACCTCATCTCTGTGTAGGTGTTGAGCAGTATTCAAGACCAGAGCCGGTGGCTGAACTGCAGCAGGTCCATTTCACATCTACCGCCGGCGTGATTGATAGGTTTAGCTACCTCCTGGGTGCAGCAATCTGTAGTACATGGCCACAGTCAATGACAGCAGGTAGATACAGCAAGGGAGATCATGGAGGTACTGTTGATAGATCAGATGGGCTGATTGGAATGGATCTGTTGTGGGAGGGTTTGAGATAGTAGTCTGAGCCCAGTGGTAATGTGGACAGAGATGGTGATTGGGGTGGAGGGGGATAGATGTCAGTCAGGGAAACCCTATCATACTGAAGGAAGTGGGTTAGGAAGCAGACACATCACAGTGGTGTGATGCATTTACTACTAAGCTTGTCGGGCCTGAAGGAAACGTTCCTTGTCCTTGGCCACAAGCAATGCTATGAAAACACATATCTCATGGATTCAACCCTTCTTAACTTCCTCTTACTGTGAGATTACAGTGATCTGGGAAACCAGTCAGACTGTGGTTAAAAATAGAATCACAATTAAAATGAGGACACACCACAACTGATCTATTGTCTCCTCATCATTCTGTCTCTTTTAAAATGGGGAATAGGTGGGTTTGAGGCAGGTCAGATATCTATTTCAGATTTTTAACTTTTTAACCATCCAACAGAACCAGACTACCTTTACTTTGGAATTTAAAATTCCTTAATATGTAGGATTCTATAAGATAGATAATGAAGACCCTACTGTATATACTATTGGATTCTATTATATACATATAAAACATATTTTGCATATGTTATAAACAACATTAAACTACAATGTTGTTGGACCATCCTCTATATTTATTTATTTTATATGAACAGTGCGATACACATGTAATGTTAGAGTACAATATCCTTATAGAACTCTACCCAGACTCGACAAGACTGCATCTGTACTGTTGGATTCTGCTACAGCACGCATTCATACACTGCTTCTAACATACTAAAATTTGCCAAGAAATTTCACAGGTGCAATAGCAAATGAAACTTGATACCCAGCCATATAGGGAAATGGTAAAACAGGTGTCAAAAATCCAAATCAAAGAGGGGTGGGTTTGGAAAACACAGAGACAGACAGATGCACGGATGTTTGAGATTGACATTCCAGAGTTTACCAAGGCAATTGAAAATACAATTACTAACAGCGAAGCTGTGAAAATTGGGGACATGCTACAAACATCTGAAGATGGAATTCTACCAGCTTACCCTTGAGATAGGTAATTTCACACCTCCACAGCACACACAGGGAAAAAAAACAAAGTACTGTTAACATTGCCAGCATGATTTAACTTCCACTAAAATGAATCAGTTGCGAGGGGTTTGAATTCCTGTTTCTAGCATGTAAATTTGTATAAAATCATTACTATCAGTTAGGCTTGAAAAGGTATTTTCTCCATCTTATATTTGAGGTTTCAATGAATCATAAACAGTTGCTACTTTTGCAGGTTCTCAATGGAACCCATCCCTTTTAAGAGAGATTATTGGCTGGCCAAAGAATTTCAACCATGTTCTTTCTGGTTAAAGCCTCCTCTCAGATTCTGCTGCCTGTTGGCTCTGGAGGAAGTTGGGCAACACATCAGTAATAACATAAACTGTTGTGCTGCGGTTTCATTGTTTTAGATTAGAGTTTAATTGCACTGGCAAGTGCAGATGTTGATCTGGTGCAACACTTAATTGCAGATTTTTGTTTTTTAAAAGTCATCCTGGGAGACATTTCAAAATATTGATTCTGAAGTTGAAATCCAGCTTCGGTCAGTAGCTTTCATTGAGTGTGGCAACAATTTTTGATGATTTATTTTTTTTTAAGAACCTTAATATTCCAGCAAATGGTTTTCAATTTCACTGTATGCTAGTTACCTGCAGACTATCAGTCTCTTGCAGTCCAGGAATGTAAGAAATAACAAAGAGAAGGTGGGTCCTCCTGTAGTTCTGAGCACATGCAGTAATGAGACTCAGTAAATGAATAAAACAAGAGCTAGAACATAATGTTTCAAAAGTGTCACCTCCTTCATTGAACTGTACCGTGATGTCATCCAAGGAAGGTTCCAGGTTAATGTTCACATTGCACAGAGCTAAGAATGCAGTAATGCTGCTGATAGTTAAAACCTGTGTGAGCCAGTTAGGTTTGACCTAAAGTCTTTATGCATATGCTATACTGGCTGAGGTTTGCTCTTAATAAGGAAACCTTTACTAGGGGTGGGGCAAGGTTGGTAGGAGTGTGGAGGAATTTTTTTTGTGATCCCTGCTAGAAAGGTCTGTGAAAAAAATGTTCCCTTCCAGAGAGGAGATGCTTGTATTGCCAACATTACATCTTCCAGATTGAGAGAAATCCTGAGGGTGTTTCTTCCACAGCTTGCTGCTGCTTTGCATACCAATCTTGGGCTGAAATGTGCACGCAGAGTCAGGGGCCATGTAATCTCTCGGCCATAACACAGATTCCTCTACAGTGATTAGTAACTTAATGTGTAAGGACACTTGGAACCAAATCACAACCAAAGAACCTCGGGGCAGAACATGCTGGTACCAGACCTTCCAACCCACCTTTACTTTTGGCAACATGTGCACACACCTACACCAGTAAACAAAGAGTAATTAAACACTTTCCATCATACAGGATAACAACAGCCCAAAGCTTTAGAAGGCCTGAGTCCAGCAAATGTGTCTGGACTGATAGAGTCTGATAGAGATTATACTTTTCTCAAATCTTCCTTAGCTTGACACGGTCTCAAGCATTGTGTTACAGGCATTTATTTTGGCTTTGAGACAATCAAACGAAATGTGTAATTCATTCCAAGAAAGAACTAATGTGGTGTTACAGGCAAAACGTTATCAAAATTGATCCTTGTTCAACGAAACATTGGCTGAAGGCTCCCTCTAGTGGACAGCATTGATTAATAATAAACTAAGAGAAACTTCTATGTTCTCACACTTAGGAAGAACCATCATTCTCTCCACTCACCATATGGATGAAGCAGATCTTCTTGGCGACCGGATCGCAATCATTTCTCAGGGAAAGCTGCAGTGTTGTGGCTCCTCTTTGTTCCTGAAGAACTGCTTTGGTTCTGGTTTCTATCTGACCCTGGTTCGCAGGATGAAGAAGGCACAACGAAGGAAACAAGGTGCTATGGTAAGGTTAATGCATCCGCATCTTACTGTGTACACACAGGAGGGACCAGGTGCTCTGTATCTGAGTAGAAGCCACCTGACAGATTCTTCGGTTGTAAAATCAGATCAAAGGCTTTATTTGTGAACAAACTGTTGAAAATCTGCCTTCATCTTTGATGTACTTGCCACGGAATTCAGTTTCCTTGGCTAGTAAGTATAAGCAAGGCATACACTATCCATTAGCTGTTGTGGAATGGTGAATATCATCCTTGCCTCTGACCCAGACACTCTGGGTTCAAGGCCCACTCCAGGAGCCGGTGAGCAAGTCCGAGAAGGTGTGTTAATGATGTGCCTAGCAGGTTGAGTACCAGCTGCAAGCACATGCGAATTGTAGTTAGTAAGAGTGAGAGAAGTATCCTGGTCAGCCACATGATAGCAAGAGTCCATAGCCCAGAATATAACTTTCATATATAAGTACACTTTGTCACAGCAGCTAGAACTGACTGCATGGACTATAATATCATCACCCACTGCTGATTTGTTGCATGAACAGTGTTGCTTTAAACAGCATTGCATGAATGAAGCAGGAAATTATACAAAAAGTCTACTCAGAGGAAGCACTTCCACAGAAACAATATAGCTTGGGGGAAATGGCATCAGAAGCAGAATTTTAAAAAGATCAAAGGTCTCTCCTGTGCAAATTAAATCCATCTTCCAGATCTACCCATGTAGTTAGATTGCTTTTTATTGCTGTTTGTGGTGATTAGCATTTCATTTGATCTCTGCTTTTCTTTTACTCACAAACCTATCACAGCCAACATGCACCTGTGGAACAGGCTGTCGCTGCTCCTGCTCCAACTGTTCTCCTATTGATGAAACCCTACCAGAAGAGGAACTAGACGGTGAGGTTTGCATTTTCTGCCTCGCTTTTATCAGTGTTGCTCAAGTACTGTTCAACCGTAAGAACCTTGGTCCAATCTTTCCTCCCGGCTTGTATTAGAGCTGAACTTTGGGCTCATTTTGAGCCTCATTGCTCAGCTTCTCAACTCGTCTCAGCTGCTCTCAATCTAAAACTGGACAAATCCAAACTGCTGGTTAACACGAGAAAGTTCTGAAGTATTTATATTGCCTTGACTCCCAAGAAATGGCACTGGTCAAGTAATTATGGCATGCAGCAAGCATGCAATGGCATTTCTGTTATGTCACTTGTTCTAATCTTTCCCACTTTCATCCTTGTTATTTCCTAACCCTCATTACAGGCTTTCTCTTCTGTGTTGACAGGAAGAAAAGCTGTTTGACAACGTTCAAAAGGTTAGATCCACAGAGTCAGCCAGCAGGAAGCATGCTTGGGTTGGCAAATGCAGCTCAACAGTTTCTATGAAGTTCTGACTCAGTGGGAGTTCACATTACTAAAGCTCCCACTTTTCGTCGTTGATTCTATAATAACAAGGATAGTCCAGAAATACATCTTTTCAATATTACTTCCAAAAGCTTAATATGAATTGTATGCCTATGTTGTGTGTTGTCTGCTATTTTGACAGATTTTAACTCATTCATGAGAAAAGGATAAACACTTGTGCTAAAATTGTAATCTTTATGAAATCTTATTTGAGCCTGTTTATCATTTAGTAAGAATAAGAACTTTTGCAAAACTCATTCCTCAGCCTTCTTTATTCGTTTATTCACTCATGGGATGTGGGTGTCATTGGCTGGACGAGGATTCATTACCCATCCTTAGTTGTCCTTCAGAAGGTGGTGGTAAGCTGCCTTCTTGAACCACTGCAGACCATGCACTGTGAAGACACCCCCATTGTGCTATTAGGAAGGGAATTCCAGAATTTTGACCCAGTGACACTGAAGGAACAGCTGTATATTTCCAAGTCAAGATGGTGAGTGGCTTGGAGAGGAACTTTCAGGGGGCAGTGTTCCCATATATCTGATGCCCTTGTCCTTCCATGTGGAAATGACTGTGGGTTTGAAAGGATTTATTCAAATGGCAGCAGAAGGATTGACAGTTTTACATCTCATCTCAAAGGCAGCTCCTCTGACAGTGCAGAACTCTCCCAGTACTGTATTGGAGTGTCAAACTGGATTTTTGTGCTAAAGCACTGGAGTGGGACTAGAACTCTGATCTTTCTGACTCAGGACTGAGATGGCTTACTGAGCCATAGCTGAAACCATTTGTATATTACTGTTGCATATATATTATGATCCTTGCCGAAAGCATTATGTGCTATACCCATGACTATATGAGACACTGATGTGCTTTCAATCTGAATTAATAACGAGAATGGATTGCCTGTTTGTATAAAGATTGTAGTAAACTTGTAAAGAATGGCCTTTCACTGTAGTCTTTGTTGGTCCTCTCTCATGCAGGTGATGTAGATACATTGACAAATCTCATCAAACATCATGTTCCTGATGCCAAGTTGATGGAAAATGTTGGTCAAGAGCTTTACTACCTGCTGCCCAGTAAAGATTTCAAACATAGGGCCTACGCTAGCTTGTTCCGGGAAATCGAGGAGACTCTGCAAGATTTAGGCCTCAGCAGCTTTGGGGTGTCTGACACTTCACTGGAGGAAGTAAGACTGATAATTATTTATCATAAGGAACTGCCCTTTTTATCAATTCCTTGGAATTTTTCATTAGAAGTAATGAAATATGACAGTCAAGCAATGTGGTCACTTGTCAAGTATGTTATTTACAAAGAGACTCCACATCACATTGCCAGAATTTTACATGAAGGCTGTGGTTCCGAGCCAGCCTCCCCTTGACCAGGTCTCCATTTACAATGGTCAGCATTAATTAGCTTGAGGTGGGACTTCTATTTGACTGATCAACAGTGCAACCAGGAGTGCTGGCCATGCCTGGAACTGCAGGCAGTTCTCAAAGAAGAGAAACCATGGACCTGGGCTTGAAGGCAAGTCCCAGGCTTTAGCTGGCATCAGGCTGACAGGCATCAGCAAAGGGGCTGGGGGGGTCAAGGGGGGTGGTGCCAGATTCATCAGGGCTTTGGAAGAAATGCTGGGGTTTGGGGAAATCGGGGGAGTACAGGGATACCTGAACCAAACCCCTCCAACCATCCTGGCCACAAGACTGCATGCTTTCGGGCCATTAGTTGGCCAATTAGGGGTCTCAAATGGCACAAGGGTAAATAGACTGTGGCAGCAGGTAGGCTATGTAGGCACAGCTGTCATGATGTCCTATTTTACACCACCTTCCCCTACCCCTCATGTGCCAACCTACCTCGGTTGGGGTTTGTAGAATTCCAGTCAGTGTATGGTCCACAAACATATCACATGTCTGTGTAAATCCCCTTCTGTGCGGTTTTAACAAGGAGGTTACTTTGTTAACACTAAATTGATTATTGTCTCTGTGAATACAGTGGAGAAGGGAATTCTGTATTGGCACGATCAGTAGTATGCAGGTATTCCAAGGTCAAAGTCTGAAACAATATTAAGTCTTACTGGGAGTGAGAGTTGCTTGTTGGCTCGGGTGTTAGTGGAGTGTGTCCCTCCTGATTAGACATTACACAGCCAAAAGGACCACCTCCCTTAATGACCCCCACCCTGAGCCTCTCAATTGACTGTTCCTCACTAGGACCTGCTTCATCTGCCTTTATCACTGACTTGATTTAAGCTGCAGCCCCAGCAGAGCTCACTGTACCTGGTGAGAATTTTAAGCAGTGCTTTCCATAAACTACCAGTGCATAGTACCTATAATGGCATCTACACTCAAGAGTGGCTCCGACTTCATGCTAAGCCAAAAATCATCTTTCCAAATAAAGACGCAGTTTGTTTCCCTTCTTTTGTGAATTCTTTATACCAGTGCGCAAAGTCTTCTAGAGTCACATGTTCTCATAAATGACAAATTGAGGATTTACACTCACCTGGAGCATCAATGCTTTTCTTACAGCAGACACCATTAAAGTGAGCTGTCTTAAATTAGGACTAGAATTTCTATGGACATTCACCCAGTCGTTCACCATGAGTTTGTTGTGGACTGTGTCTTAGAAGATGCTGTACTCTATATAAGAGATTTGGCGAGAAAAAGCGATCTTTTCAAAGTGAACATACTATATTAGCTCGATACATTCAAACCCCACACATGGTCTGAGCTGCTTTCGATTTCTCGGATTGTCCTCAATCTCATGTATCTATGACATCTTCATGATTTTCTGTGTGCATGCTCAGTTGTTAGCCTCCGAGTTAACCCTTTATTCTGCAATGACCTTAAAGGTAAGAATCCACAATAACTAGAAATCGAACGTGTAAACTTACCGGCTCCCTGCCTGCATTCCTTGCTGTGACATTGCTGATGAGTATCTTCCTTTAATCTAGTGTCTGCAAAAAATATTTCCTGTGTGAAAGGTCTGAGAGGGGTCAGTCACTTGTAACTCAATTCTGTCCTTTGCTCATTTCTAGATATTTCTAAAGGCAACTGAAGATCCCATGCCTGCAACAGGTAAACAAGCAAATCTGAAAATTCAGAAACCTGTGGTTCATATGAAACATTTTGGGGTAGTGCATGTGCTTTTGTAAAATTGATGTACTGATAAATAATGAACAAACTTGCATTTACAGAGCAGCTTTCACAACCTCAGGACCAATATTCCTTCTAAGGTGTGACTGTGCAGAAACTCTAATGTTCTCTTGCAGGCTGCATGCAAGGTGATGCAAAAAAAACTTAAAGGGTCCACACACTTTTTAAAAAAATCACATGCAAACCTTAAAAGGTAAACAGATAACACTGCTAAGGGCATCCTAAGTGCTTCACAGCTATATACTTTTGAAGAGTATTCATTGTTGCAAAATAGGAAATGCAAAACAAAAAGACCAAGCAAATATCAGGGAAATACGTTAACAAGTTAGCTGTTTTCCTGGTAAATAAATGCCAGACAGGTCATTGGGAGACCTTCCATGCTCTTCTTCAAATAGAATCATGAAGTCCCTTTTGTCCACATGAGAGAGCAAGCAGTTTGGATTTAATGTTTAACTTGAAATAAGGTACCTCTGACTATGCAGTACTCCTTCAGCATTGTATCAAAGTTTCTGCAAAAAATGTGCTCAAGCCCCTGGAATGTGGCTTGAACCCATTACCTTTTTCTTCAAGGTGAGAGTGGGTCAGGTCCAATACCTTGCTGTGATTATAATAACTGTATGCTGATTGTATATTCTCCTTTGACAGTGAGGCTCAAACTTACAGATATATTCAGTACTGTTGAGTTCTTTGCCTGAAGGCAGGTCCAACCCAAGACACTACAATCTCCATCACAGGGTCCTGAATCCACTGCAGCTGAAATGGGGATCAAACCCTGTGCTGTTGGCACCAATCTGAGCCAATGGAGCCAACCAACAATCACCCAAAGGAATCTGAATCGATGTGGAAACATGCACTTTTACTTGACCATTGTAGCCTGGAGCTAATGATGGTAGAGCCTGTAATTTATTTCCATCACATGGTTGATCTCCTGTGCTTATGTTGGAAGGATTGACAAGTTGAAACCCAGCCTCTTTAGCTGTGTTATGACACACCCACTTTGGCCACCAAATCCTGGAGTGAGAGTTGAATCCAGAGTTTCAGGCAGAAACATAACCCACTTTGCCACAAGACCTTCCACTTATTCAATATAGCCAAGTCTTTGTGATACAATCTTACAATTTCACACAGGTAGAATTTGCCATTCTTTTTCACTGTTATTTAGGTTCTGATTAATGAAATAAAGGCTTTGCATGTTCCCAAAGCTATTTGGACAACATTTATGTGTTGCAAAGGAAATAGTCAGGAACACACTATGATAATGCTTTTGATAATGTTCTATGACGTTAATTGTTTCCCGGGTGATTACAGAATAGTAAACATAACTGAAATCTACAGTTTAATACATTGCTTTGAATCAGTTCTAACCATCAGTGGTCCTGGATATTATACACAACAAGCTGAACTTATAACAGAGCATTTTTAGGGTACAAATCGACCATTAAATTGAGAAGGTTAAGAGAAACTTGCTGATTGATTTATATGGGCGGTCTGTTGCTTTGCACAAATAACATCTCACCTTTAGCCTCACTGTTTCTTTCAGCAATTTGCTGGTTTTGCACATTAATTACTCATTGACCTCGTCACAGCAAGTTAACTCTGCTAATTAGCAGATAGGTACTTTTTAGTGACATTGTAATAATTACTGCAGTACCAAACAACTTCTTTGGCCCAGAAGTTGAAAAAAACAACCTATGGAGTCTCCTTAATTAAGGTGAATTACAAAACTTGGAAATGTAGCATTAAAAATCAATTATTTTTTGTTTTCCCTTTTCTTAGTTCAATCCTTCTTTTAATCTCTTGCTTGCTTTCTTGAATTTAGTGTATATCTAATCAGTTCTGCTTCTCAGTTATTTCTGCATATGGAGGTCAGTTGGCTGGATGGCTGGTTTGCAATTCAGAGTGACTTCAACAGCGCGGGTTCATTTCCCACACTGGTTGAGGTTACTATGAAGGTCCTGCCTTCTCAAACTCACCTGAGGCATGGTAGCCCTCAGGTTAATCTCAACACTAGCTGTCTCTCTCTAATGATAGAGCAGCCTTATGGTCCTCTGGGATTGCGGCAACTACCATTGTTTTATTAATCCTTCAATCTCATTGGTGAAGAAAATACATCATGATTCCGATGCCCCATTTCCCTTGTCACTATTCCTAGTGGTTTACATTGATTTTAAACTGATTTAAAATGTCCAACTATGGGTATTTTACAAGATAGCTTCTCCAGCTGCCCTAATGCATAAACTTGACCAAAATTCAAGGTTCGTTCAAGTGACCAGTAACTTCGTTTGTCATTGTTCTTTTTGTTAATCATGCTGTTTGCAAAGGCTGTGTGCTGCTAAGAAAGTCAGAAGCAGGCCTTAATGATGAACACAAGGCAACAGTTGTCAACATTGACCCTAACAATGGTGAGCATAAAAGAACATTCTAATCATTCAATCTCTTAATTCTACAATAGGACATACGATTCCACACCCATGGTTTGGTGAGAACATAACACTAGCATTGTCCAAAAATATCTATCTTGAATGATCCCTTCTTTCAATATCCAATTTTATTGCAGACTGCAAACGTTTGTTGACGTTCAGGAAAGACGAGTTCTGAGCAATAATCTTACTTCATTTCTAATTGAACAATGGGTTTACAATGGGCCGAATGGCCTCTTTCTGTGCTGTAATCATTCCATGATCCAATTCTACATATTAACATCCTTTGTCCTTTTATAGTCTATTTATATACATTTGCAAACATTGATTTTTTTTCTGGTTTATTTATTTAATTGAGTATTCTTCTGTCATAAGATACCACTGTTCGTGGTGCTGATCAAATTATGTCAGTCCCACCCACAGAAGTTTATAAAGCTACAGTAATTGCATACTCATTTTCCATTTTACAAACAAACCATAAATAAGAAATCGCATTCCTGATTCAACACGCAGATTAACTTTTTTTTTGAAGTTCCCATTTTAGTTGTTGACGTATCTGCTTTCACCCTTTGAACTGAATTCCTGACACTATCTCTGACAGAAACCAGGGCGCCAGTTCAAAAGTCATTGCAACACATATACAAACCCTGCCGTTCCCAGATCTCTGGCCCGACTACAAAATAAACCAATCTCTTCGTAATGAAACCCATTAAGAATGTGATTTTTCCACCTCCCCCTTCCATTTCACCACTACAGTAAAGGTTCTTTGAAACTGCTGACCAAATTTTAAAAGAATAATTAAGGGGCATTTAACTTTAATAACTTCCACATTAATAATGTGACAGCTAATCTCTACTTCATTGGAGTTTGGTCTGCAAGCTTAAAAAAACCCCTCAAAGTCTACTTCAAAGGACAAAATACCTAAAGGCGGACCATTTGTTGCCAAAATGCTGCAGTCTTTATTCATGACATTCAGTACATCAGTATTGTAAAGGAAGGGCACAATTATCTAAGTGGTAAAGGATACTAATTCAAACATCAATAGCATGAGTTCTAAAAACTTACAAAATCACTAGGTAAACAAGTCTTCTCCTATTTAATAACTGGTTGTATGTATAGTTGTGTTGCTGCGCGCTGCACTCCCATCCTGTCTGATACAGCGGCCTCTGTTCTGTAAATATACGGGTCTACATTTTCCGGGCCTTGTGGCAGTAGGCTTGGAGTGGGACACCACATCAGACCAGCGTCCTAACTCATTTCCAACACCAGGGATGTTTCCCAGTGATACCCACTCCATGGAAGCAGGCAGCACACTGACAAAACCACCTGATAAGACATAACAGAGCAGCAGGCCATTCAGCCCATCATGCCTGCTGCTTCACTCACTGAGATCATGACTAAGCTGTTAACCCTCAACTCCACGTTCCTGCCTTTTCCTCATAATCCTTGATCCCTTTACTGATTAAAGGTCTGTCTATCTCAGGCTTGAATATACTTAATGAAGCAACCTCTATAACCCTTGTGGTAAAGAATTCCACAGATTCACAACCCTCTGAGAGAAGAATTTCCTCCTCATATCTTAAATGTCTTACATATTCTGAGATTATGCCATCTGGTCCTCTCCCACAGGGGGAAACAATCTTTCTGCATCTAACCTGTCAAGTTCCCTAAGAATCTTGTATGTTTCAATAAGGTCGCTTTTCATTCTTCTAAATTCTACCAAGTACAGGTCCAATCGACTAAAGGTCTCCTAATAAGACAGACAGACCCTTAATACCCAGGAAAAATCTAGTGAACCTTCTGTTCACTGCCTCTAATGCCTCTAATTCTTAGATGAGGGGCTCACAACTGTTCAAAGTATTCCAGCTGTTGTCTGACTAACGGGTTTGCAAAGTTTTACATAACCTCTCTACTTTTACACTCTAATCCCTTTGAAATAAAGGCCAACATTCCACTTGCCTTCCCTATTACCTGCTGAACTTGGATCCTGGCTTTTTGTGATTCATGCACAAGGACTCCCAAATCCTTCTGTTCCGTAGCTTTCTGCAGTCTTTCTCCATTTAAATAATATTCAGCTCCTGTATTCTTCCTGCCAGTTGGAGGTGACCTGAGAGAGGTTGAGACTCCATGCCCCATTGACAGAAAGGTCCCACTCACGGCCCCTATTATCTTCCACAGAGAGTTTCACCTCCACTCTCAAAGATCCCGGCAGCTTCTGTCCTGATTGTTTTTCTATTTATGTCCACACCTCAGTAGTACCTGTCTTAGCCACAGCTGTCGAAACTGCAGAGCTGCCACCAATTGAGCCCTGTGATAGGGGCTGGCAAACATTGACGTAGCCCATTAGGAGGAGAGTGCACTACCTGTTTGCGGGTCTCAGAACCCCCACTGAATTCTGACAACAGAACTCCAGAACCCATGAGAAAATTCAATCCACAGTATGAACCCCAACATGAACTGTGTAGCTGAAGAGGTGATGCCAGTGTTCCTTCTGGTCTATAA